AGAAACTGATGATGGTGGAAAACACCGAAACGTATTTTAATTGATAAATAGACAATAAATGACTGAAGCCCAGGAATTGATTTTGATTTGGAATAGAAACACAGTCAGGAAAGTATGTACAATCAAGCAATAATAATATAATGGCAAGTATATTCAGTTGAACACTGCAAACATTTTCAAGCAAAAATTTACATATTTATTCATATTGCGTTGTTAAATCATTCGGGGCTTGGGTCGATTTGTTCGTGGTCTTTACCAGTATGTATGAACATACTTGTGTTGTCTGAGCTAAAAAGAAGCAAAACTTACTGGTGTACAGACCGACTAGTTCAACATAGTTTGATAATTTTAATCAATCTTTCCGGGCAATTTTCAACTCACTCTCAAGTCTCTCAGAAGCAAATTATTGAGATAAGTTCTAAAGGGTCTCAGTGGCGTGTAAATGTACCAATATGCCGGCCAGCTATCGTAATAATCCAAAGGTTTGGTCACTTTATAGTCTGGAATATCGATAGAAACATACTTCGAGCTTGGCCAGCACTCGTGATCTACCATGCCATATCTGGGTTGATATTGCAGCCCCAACATTATTCAAACTGTTAAACCATTAAACAAATATGTTCGATAATTTCGCGTTAGTGTAACTGAATACTTACGATTCTATCGAAAATGATCACTAAACTATCCAAACAAAGTGTTCGTTCGCATAAAGTCTCGTCGCTTATGATTGGGGATATTTTCAGATTGCGATGTCTTGCAACAGTTTTGGCAGATTCCCAATTGTGTGAGCGTTTGTGCGTTGGCCAGCAGAAGAAACAACAACAAACCGGTTGGGTGTTTTAACGCAAAACTGCAACATTAAAGGCCGTAAAATGTGCAGTAGAAGCCGGAAAATGGCCTCTTTAAGTTGGATGTTTCACAGTAACATCAACCTCCCTATGTCGAAGTGTGTGGGCTTTTACGACGTCTATATGGAGAAGAGCGCCACTTTATTGGACAGTAACTGCCTACGATAAGATGCCGCAGGCATCGCAAGACAATTAAACTTGGGTGTTTGGCCAATAGTTTATTTAGAAAAACAACGTTCGTGCACATTATAAAAATAAAATTAAACCTAGGTGAAGTAAGAAGAATCTGTTGAAGTATTCAGCACTTTATCTGCTCTTCTAGGTGTTAGTATCGGGTGTATCTGGATACGCTGGAGCTGGACTTCACAAGGCTGCTTTCGTTCGAGTAGAGGCTTTGCCGATACTGAAACACCCCAATCAGTCACTTAGTGGAACAGTTATTTGGAAAAAGCTGCTTACGTATGTTGGGGTGGTTAACCATCGTCTAAAGGGTCGGTTCCTCAAAGTGAGCCGCACCAAATAAGGCCAAAAGTCGTAGAAGTTGTATGATCGATGGATCCTGTAGTCGGGAATCGATCGTGTATCGGCCAGGTAATACTCGTTACCATAAACCGGATTATATCTCGCTTTTAACGGCATTTCTAAAACAAATCGCTTAATTAACTAACTGATTGTTTAAGCTGGATTGAAAAAAAACTCCAATTTTGTTTGATTTACTGAATACTTACTGGTAATAATGGATTGCGCCGACACCACTTCACAATATCGAGCAGATGCTGAATGTTTTCGAAATCCGGCGAATTTTGCACGAAGCGATTTCGGATTGATTCTTGGCATCCGGCCATGCATCTATTTTAGTGATTGTTGAACAAGAATTTGTCTTTTTCGCTCAGAAATCCGAGTGGCAAAGAATGAATCATTTTTATTTTCAGTGCAACGCAAATACCGGCGATATCGGCAAAAAAGCTCATTTTCTCCTGAAATTAACCGAACTTTCTTACGGTAGAAGGGAAATTAACTCGTTTAATGACTGTGAACTCAGCAAAACTCGAAAAATTGTTTTGCATTATAGACATCAGTGTGAGAACTTGAAAGGACTGTGCCGAATAAAGCAGAATAACTGACAAGTTTACTATTAAAATTGCTCAGAATTTTCCTGTCATGAAGCAGTGTTTCAAAAGGTTCCCCGTTTCCTTAAATTTTGTACAAAAACTCAAAAAATGCTTCCTATGAATAGAGGATATTCTTATCTTTCCT